TGCTCTCACTCTTTTTATTCATGCGCTTTAATTAGATGACATATGAAGTGTACATAATATTATTTTTCCAGTGTAAATGTAAATTGGAACTCGAATCAGTTATCTAATATGTACAAGATATTTTCACGACAATGCGGTTACAGATCATCTTACTAAATTCATGATGAAGCTATTACCTTTTTCAACATTTTTATAATTGATTACAATTTTAACTGTTTTTTTTGAATTATAATAACGATAATGCAAAAAAAAAATGATAATGTACACATAGTTCATAAGTATCATTTACCATAAATAAGCTTTATTGTATTGTGGTGTATTGTAGATTTCAAATAATTTAAGTGTATATAATATAGGTGGTCTATAAAAACAGTTACAGTTATAAAATATCAAAACCAACAAAATTGGAAACAATACGTATAGAATTATATTTTATCATAAGTTTACTAAATTTACTGTTATAAGATATATACTTTTGAATAATTTAACCCGTAATGATTCTATGTACGTAAAAATGAAAAATATATTTTACTTGTTATAAATTTAATTCATATTTAAATATTTAATTTATTATTATATTAATAACACATGATGTGAGTTGCACATAGTTATTAAATATATTTAGAACACTATGCATTTAGTAATCATTGTGTTGATACTTAATACAGATCTTAAGATCATAGTCAACGAATTATTATTAACAAATCATTTAAAAATACCGGAGTTTTAATATTTTGAAGTTATACGGAGGTATATATTTTTATTTTTATAATAGATTATATAATATATATATATATATTATATATATAATTATAGATAATATTTATATAATAGATGACATTAAACGTATAACTAGTTTTGAACAAATAAAACTATAGAAATTGCCATGGCATTTATATTGAATACAGTTTAAATACGATTTTTAAAATGTTCCATAATACTACACGAAATTAATCATGAATACGAACACGTAGTATACACAGCACTCTGCTATCGCATTGAATCTGGAAAATCTATTAGAAAAGTGAGGTCTCTCCATATGATGACCTTGTATTTGACACCATTAGGAAAACATAAAACTTCATGTTTCCGGTTGTATTATTAAAAGTCAATGGAAATCGTTATACTAGATGATTTAAAAAATTATATTAATAATAACATGAAATTGCGTTTAAATACAAATATGAAATGTGAAGTGTATGACTAGGCATGCATAAACATTATTCGCATGGTATTATCAAGTATATATGATTAGTAAAAAGTTATAATGCACGTGTATACTTGATAAAAGCTTAATAGTATCGAAGTTCAGATTTGAAAATAGTTGTACAAAGTATTTTAACGAATAGAGCATCTAGATTGGAAATGGAAAAAAACTACACTCAGTGAAAAATAGATGGTATTCTTTTTTGTTAGCATAATAATATTACGGTGAAATGAAGCGAGATTGTGTGTTCACACGCGAGAATGGAAATCGATTAGATTGTCAATAATATTATTATGATAAACAAGTTTTTAAAACTAGTGTTTTATTAATTTTAGTGATTTAATAATAAAATTAATATTACGTACTTGATACCTTTAAAGGGCTCTTAATAATAGTTGATGTAGATACTCGCTACCCATAGATTTATCTTAAGAATTTATTGAAGAATATTTAAGTTTTTATAGTTTATAGTCATACAACGAATTACGTAAGTAAACCGTTATTATTATTTAATATTTAAATACGTGTTCGGTAAACACGTCATGAAGAACAAGAAAATATATTATAAACTTATGAATTTTATGATCAACTTATATAGTGAACTCGCGTTCAAACAGCTGGCTGTAAAAATATTTACGATACATTTTCGATACAGTTTGTTTTCTCTTTGATACCTTAATGTTTACTGGAATATGTATTACAATGGTATATTATACTGTGTATATATAGTAGTACAGGTTCGATACTATGTTAATTAATCGTGTGTTGGAAAATCAAAATACGAATAAAAACCATGCGTATAAAAATGGAAACGCACATGTGTTTACGCTACGCGTTAACGTAGTACAGTAGCAAAATGCAAGTTACTCAATTGGTCGCGCTATTGGTTACATGCGTGTTACAGCTCGTTATCGATTTGTTTCAAGACTTTCAAGATCATTATTTCCTTGTTGGTATATGGAACAACCGCACGCACGCATTCACAATATCATATCATATCACGTGGAAATAGTTTTAGTACTTATATACATATACAAGAAAATATACTCGTGTATTTTTTCTTTTGTTATTTTTCACATGGTAAACCGAAAATCTTACACATGATAATATGCACACAACACTCAATTGTACGATGGACATACATGTCACGTCCTTTTGATTTACTCGTTTGAAAAACTACTTCTCCTTTGTATAACGGCACTTTAGGTAATTAATTTATCTTTCTTTAAAGTCTTATTAGTATTAGTATAATTTGTTATTCAGCAAATTTTATTATAAGTCTCATCCACAATATTGCACCACAGAACATGAGCCGCGTATTATGAGATAGCCAGTTCTATATTAATAACAAATGTGTGTTTGTCAGTTGTAACGCGTTTATAATATAACGTAATGTAAGAAAACATAATATCTCTATTGAGACGTCGCTTTAACACTGTTGTTGCTTTAATAATAATGATTGGTTGTTACATTTTACACATTGGTATATACCCAGTAATAACAATAATAAATATAACGCGTTGGACGTGATGTCATTATCATTCAAGTCCATTACCACACTGTGGTCGGCTAACAATTACCGTCTATATGAATATGTACATACCTTACGCCACACGTACGGTCGCGTATATAGGTATGGTCAGTGTTGTCAATCGAACTAAACAAAAACAGACATTTTCGATTTGCGTAGTTTTGAAATTGCAAGTAACTATTTGCTTGGAGAAATACGACGTACTACTCGAAAAAAATAAACTGTTATCAGTGGCACACACAGGGGGGTTTAAGAGTGTCGACTGACACCCCTCAGAGAATTGGTGGATGACTAGTTTTGTGTGAACTTGTATGAATATTTGTTTAATTTAATACTAACCAATTTTTCAGCTATCCAAATCAACATACTAATTAACTAGAACTAAAGCGTCACATAAGAATAAGTAGTAGTGCTCAATCCCAAAAATTATGTTATACCAACTTATAAATTAATACTCAGAAAATTAAAAAATAATTAATATTAGGTTTATTTTAAAAAATGTTATTTTTAGTATCTTTGTTAGAAAGAAAAAACCAAAAACACCTAAAATTAAGAGTTATAGTATGCCTAAACTCAGATTTTACTGGTGGGGTGGGTGGGTACCTCGAAATATATATTTTTGTCACCCTTGTCAAAAATCTACTGTGCACCACTGACTGTTATACATTATAAAATAATTTTATTATAGGCGTTATTGCTGCCAACTGCTAACAGACAATTTCAAAGTTTATACGTTTATTATTGGTTTTCAAATCAAACAGAACAAAGTAATTATGGGCGTCATTTCAGGTTTTGAAAGGGTGAGGCAATTGAAAATAATTCCCAATTTCATAATATTTAAAAAATTATGGTTACTTCTATTCTTATGGATGATAAACCATCTCATAAAATAATTTTTTGGTATAAAAATTATATTGGATCAAAATTAATTATGATGTTAAGTGATAAGCAGAAGACATGGAACGTATCAGTTTCTTTAATTAAATAATAGCATAGGATAGGTATTTTTGATTTTTAAGGCTATCAAACATAACAATAGCTTTTTCTAAAGTAACATGATTTGTATACTCTCCTTTGGCATTTATAATCATTAAATGGCATAATCTTTTATCTTTCTTAAGAATGATTCAAAGCGTTTTAAGGATAAATCCGTAAATAAATGTATCAAAATGAAAATTTTGATTACTAAGTACATAAAGTATAAAATACAAATTTAACGATTTTAGAGATCATCGAACAAAGAGTTGCCGACTTTTTTAAATTTATTGAAGTGGGAAATTTGCCATAGTGTATGTGTCCCACCCCGAAAAAAAAATATCACCTCTGGAAGTGATAACAAGGAAAATCAGATCAATTCTCTACTTGGATACCTGCTGCTGAATTATGTTCTACCCAACCGATAAATCTAATTGGTTTGGTCTCGAACGGCGAGTAATAGCTGGTAGTATATTATGGTAGCAAATGAAACATGTAATCCAAATTACCTTCGTCTCAACTCCGTTCCATATTATTATGTTTCGAATTATACAGTTGTATACGCGTATTAGTCGTACACACGAGTCACGATGGCTGATAAAATTACGTTTAGAGATTACCTCTCAGATGTTATGTAAACCAAATGTACGTTTAAAATACGTACGCGTTATAGATATTTTATAATCAGATTTCAGAACAAAATGTTATATCTACGGCAGCTATTATGTGAATACATAATGTTTGTTTTCAGAAAATGTCAAAAAAACTGGTCCATTTAATAGATATAGATATTTGAATAGATATATGGTAATACAATATTGAAATTATTGATTTTACTATTCCCATTATTATATTATATACGTCGAGACGTTGAATTAGTTTGAATGAATATTAATTTATTATGTAATATAAATTACATATTTTATATTATCGGAAACTGATACAAAGTGTAATCCGATATAAAACTATCGCGTATAGGAAATGCAATTATTTTTTTATAAACTGTTCTTCCATAAACCGTAAAATTTCATAAAATTGTGTTTGGTCGAGTGTGTCTAATTTTCTGATAAAAAGGAGAAAAAATCGCTACTATACATGCAAATAATAGCTGGTGAGTACCTCCTAACACGATTGATCACTTCGGCAGCAATGCAGCAGCTATGAATGCTAGAGGTTATCATTATTTGTAAATCATACACATTTACAGCAATAATCAACTCTCGTAGTATTCACGGTTTATGCGTAATATTTACAACGGTGTATAACATTAAAACAAGTTGTACTCACTCGTTAAATAGTCTCAGCAATATTTTTCTTCGTAATGACAAAATTATTGATCACTGCCGATTGCGATCCTAGTGGCGATTTTGTTTTTTTTTAAATTTAGCGATACAGTCTGCAACAAGAAAACAAAACAGCATACATAGCACTGTTATTATTATTATTACACATGGTATACATGCAGTACATATTTATTCTATACAAAAAAGCGAGTGCAACGTCTCTTGCGGGTCCTTAATCTCCGACACAGCCGTTAATCGTGTTCATCGTCACCGCCGCACACAACGCTCATATAGAGCATATAATATTATAATGTACGTGTCCATTGCTAAGACCATGCGTGAACGTAAGAGTAAAAGAAGAAAAAAACCTTATCCGATGTGTATTTGCTAGAACACCGCGATATCAACGAGTCTAATATATTTATCAAGTATATTACGAGTATATTTTATTTTGTGAGTATGTGTGAGTTGTGGAAAATATATACCACCCAGCCTTTACACGTTTTCCGGCGATAGAAACTATAATTTAATAATATTAACCTTATATAAATCTACTAGTGCCTGTAATGACCAACGAAGTTTAATGTACGTAATGTTTACGAGCATTCTCGTGTAAGAAGATGTATATAAATGTGTACGTACATATCGAGGGAAAAACATTATTGTCCGTATGTACAACTATGTTCAGATGACGTTATGGTTTATACGCGGGTGATAATGTTTTTCTAGATTATTACATATATATATATATATTATATTATATTTTAAACTATCTGAATACAAGGCGTATTGTACGCCTAATAAAGGAAGTTTTACCAAAAATAAAACTGTTCGCGCCTTAGACATTAAAAAACAAGTCTAATAAACAGTAATATGAAATATAGAAGTAATCAAAAATTAAGTACTTATAAAGAAAACGTACACATGAATATTATTAATGATATTTATAGCAACACAGTATTTTTGACCTCCAAGATACTAAGTTAATTATTTATTATTTAGACTTACAAAAAAAATCTTTGTTCAATTGAGAAATAATATTAAGGCATTACAGCGAATAGGAAATTATATTATCAGTACATTTTAGGAGAAAACTATTCTATTTTATCAATTAAAATTAAAGCCGTGTTGCTTATTAAAAAATAAAACATATTTATTAGACAAATAGTCATTTAATTTTATTCACTTATTCAGTAAACACAACTTTCAATTTGAGTTTTAAAGGAAATAAAATAAGTATTATTTACATATATTGTAATGAACTACGATACGATCTCAATCAGTTATATTTATGGTGTGCAAGTAACGGTCTAAATTTAAATTCGGATAAGTGCATTCAAATTAGATTCAATAAAAATAGACAGAATTTTAAATTTAACTATCATGAATAAAAAACTCGATATCGTTTCAAAAGTTAAAGATTTTCTCTATTGATCTTATGTTTAACGAACATATAAATGAAATCCATAATAAAGCCATACGTATGTTTGGGTTTTTAAAACATAATTGCTGGGAATTTGATGATCAAATTTGCCTGTATATTTTATATTTTTCTCTTATGCAATCGATTTTGGGATATGGTTCAATAATCTGGAACCCCCATCAAGAGTATCTTATTAACAATTGGAACGAATGTAAAATCGATTTTTATATATTCAGGCGTATAAAATAGGGAATATTAAACTAACCTTGAAATCACTAGCCTTTAAATTTAATATAAAAAATTTGGAATTCAGAAGGAAATTTAATGATAACAGTAATGTAAACCTCACAAATTATTGAATCCCAAAATTAATTGTCCTGAATAACTTGTTTTAATTAATATAAACGTTTCAAACTTAACGTTAAGATCCACGTCTACATTTTGTATTCTTACTTGTAAACGTAACTATTTGCACCGGTAAACCAAATTAACTGCAAGTAAAATATTTAAAAATTTTGACTTTTTCTTTCGTTCTCTCTCGGAGTTAAACCATTGTAAGAACAAAAATATTATTTTATATTTTATAATTGTAAATATTGTCTAAAATATTTAATTTAATTTTGTTGCTTCTTATTATTTTACTTTATTATGTATACTGAAATAACTAATCATGTATTTTATTCAAGATCTTCTATCTCGATGCCCCCCGAGCATCTATAAATAAGTTTAATACAATAATAAATATAACATAATATTTAATAAAGATATTTATAACAAATATTTTAATAATTATTCCTTAAATGTTGGAACTTATGTTTTATAATTCATTAATTAAGTATTCGAGTAAAAATATATTTTAGTTATTTTAAATTTATTTATTTCATTTTTAAAACATTTGAAGACCAAAATAATAATTTAAGTGTCTGTTCAGTTGAACATTTGAAAAACCCATTATAATAATAGTAGTTTACAGGAGGCCACATAATACAATGATATTTTTCTAACATGATTTAAAACACGAAATAAATAAAAGTGAATTTAATTAAAGTTGATCACAGAATTATGGATTAGTAATGTTATGTAGGTATACAAAAGCAATAAGACAAGTGAACCTGAACGATTAGACAAATGTTAACCTCATCTTGAGCCAGTTGTATTTTTTTCGCTTGGTCGTGGCTAATCACTGTACATCAAACTCACAAGAAACCAGTTTGTTGGTAAATATGATGGCGAGGGGGAGAAGGAGGCGGAAAAGTAATTGATTAGGATTGTAATAATTACTCACAACAACCCGTTACCTATTGGACGAAGCACACTGAACTAGATTCTTGTTTGTCATATTATACATGTACCCTTCTCGATCGGATATTCTGACTATATTTTTTTAACCTTTTAATGAATTTAACGATAAAAGTTTTTTTTTTCTAGCGATACATTTTTATTCTAAGAAAACTCATCCATACTAATCCATCGATAAGATTTTAAATCTATAGCGAATGACTCATACGATTTATTTTCGAATAGCAATGTAGTGAATTTATAAGAATAATTATATCATACTAGTATAATGTAACATGCTAATACGTAATTATAAAAATAATACTGGAAGATTGACTTGTTACTATGTTATAGTATAAAATATAATTACTAATAATTTTACTAAATACCATGAACACATTTTATTTTAAATCGATTATTTCAAAACAGAGTTAGATTTTTAAGCGTAAAAATTATTCGTTCGAAAAGCAAATAAGCAGATATAACAGCTTACTGTTGTTTTGTATTCATTAAAAATAAAAAAAACATTTACAAATGTAAACCTAGTAGATGTCACCTCATCTTATTTTACCAAATGAAAATTGCGAATTAATAAATATTTATTGTATATACCGACAAACCTTAAGTAGGTATCTAATCTTAGAGATTTTAATTGTTATACTAGATATGATTACAATTATTAAATATTAATAAACACAAAAATTACCATTTTCCTTGGAAACGAACATATTATTCTATAGTATATTATATATTTGATAAGTCGAAAATCAATACATTACAAGCTTTTAAATATCAGTTTACACATATTAAAGAAAAGATATGATAATATTCTGTCGATAATTGATCTTCAAGGATAAGGCAATTATTGATGAATTATAGTACTCTAACGACAAAATGACCTTAACTCGTTTGTAACCAAAATTGGATTTCAAAATCTCTTCAATTAGAAACTGGATATAGAATTTTTTTTTATTGATCATATTGTGACCAAATCGGGTACATTATCATTAAATGCAGTCGTGATATTTTGGTCAGTACTCGATAGAATTTTTTTTTCCACTATAAGATGTTATTTTATTTTTGAAAACAAATAGTATGTAAGACTATCTATTCTAGATTCTAAACAAATTACTAGAGAATAACTGTACTGGTTCTAGAAATAATGCTCTTTTCTTAAATAATTAAAATTTGACCTTCAGTATCGTAGTGCAAGTACAACTTAAATAAGTCCAAAGTCTTAAATAAGTTCCTCAGTACTATAATGACAGTTATAGTTATGTAATAAACTAAAATAATTTTATAGAAATGTTACTTACAATAATGTTAAGAGCTATTCTCGTGTTGAACTACCAATTTGCTTAACTAAAGCACATAAATGGTGCCTAATGGTGCAATATTGTATTCAGTTTCGACGTTATTACCCACATTCGTAATTAGCACGTAGACAAAAAAACAATTCTGAACAATAAATGGTTCTCTCCCAAAAAAAAAAAAAAAAACTGTTAGTTTATATTTCGGAACAAAATTGGTATTTGATTACATTAAAATGTACTTTACTATTTTAAACATTTCATCTCATCCGAATGGAGAGGATCTTGATTTTTCAAAACTTTTTTGAATGTTTTATCCAAACAAACAAACAAGTCAATGGCTATTTAAATTAATTATTATAACTATTGATAGTGGACACTTATTATTACGTGTATCTACGAGCCTACGACTTCCGTCCTCTTGCAATCGAATGAACGCCACTGACTACCTTGATTTGCTTCCGTTCCGAAGTATCGCCAAGGTATCGAAAACCAAGTAGATTATAAGCTTAAAGTGTTTTGATTATTATAATAATAGATGCATTTTGACTATAGGCCATAACGTTATAGCGCACAATTTGTACATCGTGTATGCGCGCATACACATAATCACACTACCAATCTGTAAGAAGTAGACAACATGCACTGCAACCGACGATTTACTATCGGCCATCGGATGGTTATAATTAAAGTTGTTCGTACAAAAGACAATGAGCAAAGTAAATCAGTCGATCAGATAAACAAACAACGAGTCTAGTGCCCGTTTGTAAGAATTCCGAATTAAAAGGCTATTATTTGAACACAGCCTAAACTATATTATAATCGTGTAGCCGTAAACCAAACGTTCTCCGGAACGCGCGCTCCTATAATATGTCGTTATCGGGTAAATTCGTGTAATTCTATCTGATCGGCTGTAGCGTTACACCCGGGGGATAAGGATCTACACGATTCGAACAAGAGCAGCGAACACGATTTTTACACTATTTAAAATAATAATAATAACACACACACGCGCGCGCGCGCGCGCGTGATGAAAAATAAATGCCTCAACCGCACGGCTTAGAAATATGTGTGTTTCAAGTTCGATTTTAATTTATGCACA